GCCAAATTTGCAGACCCATAGCGAGCCCAACAGGCTGGATAGGATGGCTCTGCATGCTAGACTGGCATATGAGGCTTGGGTGGCACAGAGCCAAGCCAAGCCAAAGCAGCTCAGGGCCAAGTACGGAGGACCAAGCCAATCTGGGCATGCGGGGGCCAGAATGAGGTGGCACAGGGACATGGCCCAACCCTGTGCACCAATCCTGTGAGAGATCTGGCCTGTGGACTGGGCCCACACCATTCATTTGGCCCATGAAGCCAAAATGTTCAGCACTACTGCTATAATTGCATAGCTGGACAGAGTGTGGTTTACGATATGTTTTTTGCTTCTTCCTTGTATTCTTCATTTTTTCCCTTTTTTTCCTCTCTTATCTTATAAAATAGTTAAAACTCTAAGGAGCATTAAATATAACACTGAGATTTATTGCCTCTACCTCGTGTTTGATGACTGTAGCTCTTCTGATAGTTTACAAATGTAACTGCATGATAGAGTGTAACTAACATGGAGGAACTCTTTCTTGTGTATTTAGAGGAATTTGTGATTAACATTGTAATTATTACAGGTGTCATTGCATATATAAAATGAAACAAGCTACAGTGTTAGAAATGTTTTACTTTTGTTTTGATTGGGTGATTAACTTTTCACTTCATGTGTCTTGACCTATATTTTTCATATAGAATAGACACAAGAAAAATACATAATTGTAGAAGTGTTATGAAGAGTGTTAACTGTCAGTAAGAGTAAAGTATTGGAAATTAAGACTACTAAGTTATAATGGATAACCAGAGGATAACTGGCCAGAAGTTGGTCTGGTACTGTTTTGTGAATAAACTACAGTCTATTGTGATGGTTTTTCACAGGTGTTTACCTATTTACCTGGGGTTGAACTCTTCTAAACATACTTCTTTATTTCTTTTGTAGGATAGAGGAGTATTTTTAATTGTCTTTCCCAGAGCTACTGCCTCTTTGGGCTTTTGGCAGTGTTCTTTATGTAATATCCTGATTTTCAGCATCTAGAGGTCACACAAGGTACCATTTCTGCCTGAAGGAAACCCAGGGTGTTTATACATGTGTTCTGGGAGTGGGGGAGGCAGAGGGCTTTTAATTAGAGTGGCTCTGGGAGCGTTACAGACAGGCAGACTTTTATAATATTAGAAATATGAACAGCACTGAAAAAGGAGGCAGCCAGTTGTTTAAACCACAGTGGTAGTAACTGATTGTACTTGTACTGATTCAGCTTCGCAGCTGTTGCCTGGAACAGTTCTTGTCTCACTGGTTTTCACACTGACAGTTTGAAAGTTGTTGTGATGCCATGTCTTCGACTCACCTTATCAAATACGTCAGTTTCTTGTGTGTTTGGTGGAACAAAGCTCACTGACTTTCAAACCACATTAGAAGCTCCATGAACTGGATTGCATTTTCAGCCACAAACTTAACTTGATCTTCTATGTTGCCCTGTCTTAAGAAATTGCATAGTTTAAGCATGTACTGTGTTTCAAGCTCCTTGCACACAAATTGCTGGTGGTACTTCATATTCTTTGTGTGGTAATGAACTGAGTTGCTACAAATTCCATCTTGTAAGCACCGGGTATGTTGGAAGTGACACAGTCACATATAGGTATCTGCTTTGATTGGTGATGGACTCCCTGTATTGAAGTTTTTGACCTGGAAAATGTTTGAATGCTTTTTTAAAAAAGGAAATCAAGCTATCCACATCAGGAAAACCTATGTGCCAGATGTCACTTGCTGAAGAAAGGATGTGTGCATTGCAGGTGATAAGAATTGCATTGGGCATCATTCCATGGAGCACATCAGAGAAAGCTTTTCACATATACATTGCATTATCAGACAGAAATGCTGAGATCTTGTTAAATTCTGAGCTGTAGTTTATAATAGCCTTCACTACAGCTTGTGCCACAATAGAAAAATTGACAGATACAAGGTGAACCAGCTCTGTTTGAAAAACAGGTAGGTCACAGTCTGTCCAGTTCCCAGGTACAAATAAAATGTGCACAACATAGTTATCTTGGGCATCTGTTGCCTCATCTGTTATAATCGAATATAATCATATTCCACCAGTCCAGATTTTATAGGCTGAACATGTGAAGCAGTTACTCCTGGTAGATAATCTTGGCACAGCTTGTTTGCAGATAGGAAACTGCCAGCATTTGGATGCATTTGTTCAAGTAGTCCCTTAATTTAGGGCTATCAATTTCTCCAGAGAAATGTTGGCAGTCATGAATGCCTCTACTAGTGTGAATGTAGCCTCTCTTCCTGTCAAACTGATTTTGGTAGTTCTTTTAATGATTGAGGACATAGTCGCTTGTTTCTTCCTCTGACCTCAGCCTATGCAGCAGCCTTTTGCTTTATATGCGATTTGGACTCTAGATGCTGATCAGTGCTGTTTTTCCTCAACACATCCAGAATCATGTTGCACGATCAACAAAACAGTTTACAAGGTTCCTACAGGGAACAGCCTTACATGATCCTGAGCTGAAATGTGTTTAGTTTTCTTGGATTTCTTTTCACTCATCATCTTCAGACTGCAGCATTATTGAAGCATTACTACAGCATTGCACCTGGCTTATTAAAAGATGGATCTGAAACCCTTTCGCTTTCCTGACTAGTGCCTTCACTGAGTCTATGCTACTATCTCATCCTCTCAATAGCTCTTTCTCATACCATGTTCTCTGTGGCTGCAGAGATTCCCTCATTTTCTTTGGATTCTGGTAAGCTTTTATTTTTTCAGGTGATTACACCCAAAATATGGGAAAAAACATTTTTCAAGGTGATCACAGAAATCGCTATTTTTTGTGGTTTCCGCAAAAATCACAAAACCATGATTTAAGTAGGTCCCTAGACATAGCACATAGGGTGTCTTGGCATCCTGTTAAGTATGCCCCAGTGAGCCATGCAGTATCAGTACTGTTATATGCAGACATCTATACACGATTCAAAAATAAGCGGTTTCAAATAAGAATCCATAGTATCAAAAACATTTGGACCTCTTGTCTTTCTGAATTCTTTGCAACAGAAGAATTGTTCTATTATTTTTTACATAGTCAAAAGCTAAGAGCTGATATTTTTAAAGGTGTGTCTTGCATTTAAAAAGGTTAAGAACCACTGGCCTGAAAGGACTCAGGCCTACTTTCTGGGTATATGAGCATTTAGTGTCACCCAGAAGTGACACTGTGTATGTGGGCAATATATTGAAGAAAAAATGAAGTTACTTACCAGTAACAGGAGCTATTCAAGATTTATTATCCACATACACATTCAAAACCCACATTCTTCCTTAGAGTAAAAGGTGGTAATATAGGACGTGGCAAATAAGAGAAAACTGAGCAGCAGGAAATGAGCACTTTATCCCCTATGTGGAGATGCATGATGAGTGGTGAGAATTAATTGAGAACGTACTCTATAGGCACTACTAAGGCAAAAAGTCTCCAGTCAAAGTTTAGGGGCTTGAGACATGTCCACATATGCGTTCTCACTTCTGGGTATTACATGGTGAAGAACTCCAGTTACTGGTAAGTATTTTAGTTTAACTAAACAAAATGAACCATACAGTATCAATTGCTGTTCCATAAGGTAAGCCCTTATACCAGCTGTCATACCAAGTCACCCCCAAAGAGGCCTTCAACATCTTGAACATATTGCCTGAATTCCATCTGTAAGCTGAAAGAAGTTGGCTCCATTGTTAAGATTCATATCCACTATTGTAATGAACTTGTATAGTAGTATTAAGGAACTTTCATAGATTCTTTTCCTGAAGCTGAGACGGAAATAGAGGTGAATTTTATATCTTATCTCAACAGTATGACCCATGTTCTGGAGCATCTTTAGTATTCGTAAAGGTCTCAGTTAGGTTTTGATAACAAAGAAGCTTCCCAATCTTACTCCTTTGTGTTGAATTGCTTGTTAATCAAGATCTTGACTATATCTCAAGCTTCAGTACCTCAAAACTGTACCTCTCAGTAACAAGGCATTGGTTTCTCTGGTGTCAGATCCTTCCATTATTAATTCCGTAGGATTTTATGCTGGTATAGCCTTACATACATGTACTTACAGTTACACTTTTACATCTACAGAAATGGGGAGATTTGAGGCTATAGTAAGCCCAAATAGGTAAGAGTTTTTTCCAGAAAGTTCTGAGGTCACATAGCATGAGCTTCATCTACACTATGGAATAAATTATTTCTTCCTTTTCTGAGGGTAAAGATACTGTATGTCTGATCTGTGAAAACAATTATAGTCTAAAGTTTTTAATTTGACAGAAATTCCAGCAACAAGACCAGAAACAATTTACTGAATACTGACAAAACAAGTCAGTCATATGAAAGAATCTGAATTCTACATAATTAGTTACATATTCACAATTGCTATAATCAATCATTTATTATGACATAATATGTATTAAAAAGGATAGGGTGTATGTATAACCTTCTGTGTTAAATTTAAGAAGCATGTTTTAGTTAAAGTAACAATTCCTGAGATTACTGCAATAGGATTTCCAATTTACCTTTTTTTTTTTTCTTTTTTTTTTAAAGTCACGTTCTATTTCCAGTTCCCCTGTGATGGTAGCTCAACCTGTTTATCAACAACCTACATATCATTACCAGGTAACAATTTTGAATGGATAAATTTATTTTATTACTTAAGGATTCTTTCCAACATTGTATACGTCTTTCACTACTTTCTCAAAACTAAGTTTTTAAAAACCACTAGCTGAACAAGACTGTTAAAAGTTTACCAGGGTAACACCTAAAATAATTTTAAAAGGTGTTGTGGGTAATCCCTTTGCTAGGATAAACTGATATTTTCTTTATAATGGTGCTTGCCAGTTGGCCTTATTGAGAAAAAAATAAGACCATGCACAAATCAAATAAGGATAGAACTCAGTAACTTTTACAAATCAGCCATGCAGATTTTCACTGAAGTCAAAGATATTTGCACAAGAGCTGACAGTACTAATTACTTTTTCTAAGAGTAGGAGAAAAGTTCTCGGGAGTTTTTTCCTGGGTTTTGTTTTATGGATCACTTATGACCTGGCTAAAATATGTTAAAAAGTAGGACTGAGATGAAATTTTTAAAATTCTTTAAAAAATAACAATAATGCATTATTTTTTTCTCTGGTTTACCAAAATAGTGTATTTTTTTTTAAATGCATAAGATGACTTGGAAGCCCACGTATCATTTTCAGAAGTGGCTAACTAGGGATGCACCAACAAAGATTTTTTTTTGGACGATTCTTAACCAGCCATATCGGCAGATACCAGTCTGATAGCTGATATGCAGCCCCGCAGCCTGGAGAGCAGCATCAGGCTGGTAAGTCTGTTGGGGAGGGAAGTGGCATGGGTAGGAGCAGATTGAGGCCCCCCAAGGTGAGGGAGGGAGTGGGGCTGGGGCTGGGGCTGAGGCAGGTGCTGCCTAGCCAGGGCAGGGCGGGGTGTGGGATAGAGCTGCAGGCGACTCATCTGGGAGGTGGAGGAGCGAGGACTGGCTATTGACCACTGCGCACACCCCTGGGGAAGGCACGGGACATATGCCCCCCAGATTTCCGCTTAGGGCAAGGGCAGGCTGCCTGCTGCAGGCTTGGGGTCAAGGGCTATGCCAGCCTCTTCCTGGCAGGGTTCGGGGCTGGGCTGGGACAGGCAGGAGCAGGGTGGGTGGCGGCAGTGCTGGAGCAGGGGGACTACAGGAGGAGCTATGGGGAATTTTTGGGGTGGTCATAGCCAACGCCATAACACCCCTCCCAGCACTTCCCGCCACACCCCTACCCACCCGGCCCAGCACCCCCATTGGGAAATGGCCGGCACAGTTCCTGGCCCTGAGCCTGCAGCAGGCAGCCTGCCCTCAGCCCATGCACAAATCCAGGGGACATGTGCCCTCTTACCGCCCTGGGGGTACATGCAGTGGCAGGGAGCCACACCCCCTCCCTGCTCCGCGCCCCCTGGATGAGCCGTCCGTGACTGTCCTGCTTTCTGCCCCGCCCCAGCTGGGCAGCGTCTGTCCCTGCCCCAGACCCACTCCCTCCCTCCCTCACTGTGAGGGCCTTGATTTGCCCCTCTCCCCCACAAACACCCCTTCCCCCCACAAACTTACCTGCTGGACACTAGTTTCCAAGCTGCCAGGCTGCAGCGACATTTTTTTGCGAAATTATTGGCTATACCAGCCAAAAAAGGCCGATTGCCAATAATGTCAATTTTCCTTTTGTCGATGCCGATCCAATATGGACCGATTATATTGGTGCATCTCTATGGCTAACCTATAAGCCCATTGAAAGACAATAGAACATATGGTCCAGATCTTCAAAGGCATTTAGGCACCTAAGTCCCATAAGGTGCTTTTGTGCATCTGGATCTAATTTCAGATTTACTATGTTTTCTTGCATACAACATGCCCTGGAATATAATACACGCCTTTTTTTTCCCCCCCCATTCATTTTGCTTTTCAAAAACATCTTTCTCTGTAGTAAATAACTGAGTGGCAGCAGCTAGGGAGCGCTGTTCATTGTTCTGCTCCCTGTGGATGACTACAGAATTTACTTAAAGTTTCACCCAGTAAGTGGCAGAACCTGCTCTTACCATATTTCTCACATATATTTTTCACACCAGTTTCCAGCAGCTGGTTTTTTGGGGGAAAGGTGTGTGCTGTATGCACAAATGTACAGTTATTAGATACTTTTGTAGTTTTCTATTTGTGCCCTTACCAGTTCCTAATGTTATAAAACTCTTTAATTTGAAAACTCTGTATTTGAAAGGTTTTTGAGCTTCCATGTGCAAGTGTTAGAATTATGGAAGCAATATACTATCTTGTTTTTATAAATGTAGGCCCCGGCGCAGTGTCTTCCTGGGCAGTGGCAGTGGAGTGTTCCTCAGGTAAATCTAGTTCAAAATTGCAGCATTCAGTTATCAGTTGTGACTATTAATTTGAATACACTGTATGCTTTTCCAGTTTTTTTATATCACTTGTACATATTTCAAACGGTAAATGAAAATTTCCAGGGCTGTTTGTAAGCACCAACCTAGTTAATACTGTTTGTTGCATCTCACAAGTGTCCCAGTAGTATTCCCTGATATCAAGGAAAACATACAACATAAATTTATAAAATATCAGATCTAATTATGGGGCTTCATCAATGAGGTATTTTGAAGTATTAGGGAAAGCATCAAGACAAATACTTAATTTGTCACTTTGCCTATGGATCTAGTATCTTGGAACAGAAAGAAGGCTGTGAAATTTCTGGGGGTTGGCAGTAGCACCCTGCAGTCTGGTTGCCTAGATCCTTGAGCTAATGCCTCAGCTCTTCCAAACTCACTAGTCTACTTACTCGACTTCCTCCAGAATCTTTCTGAGTCTTTCTGGTTTTCTAGGAATACACATCAGCAGGGCCATCCCTGGCGGGGGAGTGAATTGGGGTGACCGCCCTGTGCTTTGGGGGTGGCCTGCAGAGCTGAGCGGAGCTGCCA